CAATGGAAGGCAAGGCACACCAATCAAAATTCACAGAACCCCACAAACGCGTACATAAATTACTATTACATATTTCAAGTTTTGTTTCCTGAATCGCCAAGAACTCCAGACCTTCAGAGCGAACAATCTCACACACCTTCTTTTGCTTTACCGCACTCCCCTGCCCTCTACAATTAAATGAGCCAATCTTCATTTAGTATCAAAGCGAACCCCATATTCTTTCGCAATCGTTCTATCACGTACCTCCATCTCAATCAATTTCTCTCGAACCTGCTCATCATTCTCATGTACCACCAAACCAACCTTCTTGCCAATGTCTAGTAACTTCGATGCCATTACCTCATCATTACAATCTGTAGCAACCATTCGCTCTCCCACCTCTACTGAAGGATTGGAATGATGCGAGTTGTCGGAACTCTTGGAAGCATTAGCTGAGATTTCATCAGTTAGCGATACATGTCCTCTAAGTTGCGATGACATTGACGCTTCTTTATTATGATTCTTAGAGATTTATTAAATTGTGTTATATATATAGACAAAATGGTTGTTCTGGTTGACCGAAAAATTTGTCTAGCCTAATTTGCATGAGCCAATTATATATACTAACTGTGAGACCAATGTTGCATGTCTATTAAATATTATCCTTTTATTATTGTATGGTTCAAATTACTTTTAAGTCCTGAACTATGCAATAAAATGGTCGATAAAATCTAATCTGTAAGGCTTTTATGTAGTAGGTACCAAAATCCATGCGGTTAATTGTTTCTCACTTTCGAAATATTCAAATCGTTTGTAAATATTTATGCTAAAAATCTAACAAAGATTTTAAAGATAAAAAAAATTAAAAAAAATTATGAAAAATATTTATTATATAAAAATTTAATGTTAAAAAATAATAGTTTATAAAATATAACTAATATTCTTCAATTAATCTAAAACACTCATCATGTGACTATATACTTTACCCTATCCCAAGTGCATCTCGCGGCAACCGGAGAACAAACAAAAGGATGTAAAAAAGCAACTGCAACGCACGATTATATTTATAAAAATATAAATTACTTTATTATAAAATATTGCATAAAATTAATTAGTTTAATTAATAAACAATATTTTTTATAATAAATATAAAAAAATATTTATTGTTTGATTCAATTATGCGTTTGAATGTAATTTTAATTTAATTAAAACTCGATAATACAATATAATTATGTTAATGTAATTTATTGAAATTGAGAATGAAAATAATTACTGTATTAAATTTTATTTTATCAATTAATTTTTTTAAAAAAGGTATATAAATTTTTAAAGAAGTTATGTGATCATTATAACTAAATGTTACTTTTATTCATGTATAGTTATTTAGTTTGGACTTATAATTCCCAAATTTGAAGGAAAATTAATTTCATTAAATATATTCTTATGTAACAGTTATTCATGTAAAAATATTTGCTTATTGTAAGAATAAAAATAATAAATATAAATGTTTAGATATTTTTAGTTAAAATTAAATTAAAAACAATTTACATAACTTTTTTAAATGACTATGTAGTCATTAACTTACTTTTAATAATCATTAACTCTGAGTATGTGTTTAGTGAAAATATTTCTTATTTAAGATTGTGAAATTATACATTTATGTCATAATTAATTCTGAAGATATGTATAGATATTAATGTAAAAATATACAATAATGATCACATTATTTGCTTTGTGTATAATTTATTTTTTGGTTTTGAAATTTATTTTATAATATCAATTATTTTGAATATTTTTTACTTGATAATTTAATATTCTTTAATTTGTTGGATTGCTACTTGCTTTACATGTTTTATTATTATCTTTAATATATTATAAGTATATATATATATATATATATATATATATATATAATTTTAAAAATGGCGACCATGTATAATTTCTAAATGATAATAATTTTTTATTTATATATATTATTTAAAAATTTATTATTTAAAAAAAATCTTATTATCAACTTCTATATTATAAATTAAAGTATTTGATCCAGAGTGAAGTATTTAGTGGAATTACATATTTATTTTTAATTAAAATCATATGAAAATAATATGTAAAATATATTCATTCTTTTTATAATGGTTTTAATTTTTTTTCAGTTTTTTATTCTAAATTTTTAAAATTAAAATTTTTATTAACTAACTTTTATATAAAATAAATAAATTGTCAAAAGAATTTCTATATTTATATTTAATAAATGTATCTTATTACCTTGTATAAAATTTTAAATAATAAATAATAAATATTTTGAATTTAAATTTTATAAACATAGATTAGTTTTAAAAAATCAAGTTAATAAAGACTTGTTTTAATTTAAAAATAAAACTAAAAAAACTATAAAATTACTAGAAATAATCTAATCAACAAACATAATCCGCTAGCGTTTTAAAAATTATTTATTATAAAAATATTTTAAAATGTAAAAATTATTATTTTCAGTTTATATTATAAGTATCTTTTATATAATTTCACTCAAGTAAATTAGCATATACATATTTAAACTTAAAATTAATAATTAGATTAGAACAATCTCATGTTAATAATTTACACAGTCAATTATAATAATAAAAAAAGTTGATAAATTTTTTTGAGTAAATATGAATATTTTTAAAAATTATTATAAACATTTTTTTAAAGTAATTGATATTAACAATGTGATGTAAATATATTTCTTTAATTAAAACTAATTTTAAAAAATTATATTTTATCATCACAGTATATAAAAATTTATTTTTATGTTTTATTATAAATAAAGATATATTAAATTTTTAGCAAAAAATCATCTGTCACTGTTAATGTTACCATTCAATGATTTGCCTTACTAAATGAAAAAAATCAAGTTTGAGCTTTTCAATATTATTTTTGATTTTTTTACTTTAATGGAATATGATTCTCGACCTCTTTATTTTAACTATTTATCTTTATTTTTTTAGTTTTTTAGTTTTTCAAAGATTCAAATTAAGTCTATCTCAAAATTAAGATTTTTATTATATATTTTTTGTACTTAGGTTTGTATAAATCAATTAATAAAATATCATACCTTTATTATATTTTTTTAATTATTGAATGAAATTTTAAGATACAAAATTTAATTTAAAAATTTTAAAAATTGAAGAGACTAAACATTAGAATATTAAAAAAATTAAATTTAAACACCCATAAAAATATAAAGACTAAAAATATAATTGAATTTGGATATTTGTTTCAAGAAGAAGAACAATTTGCTATGCATCTATTGGAAATTCAGGATAGATGCCTCAAGTTGCTTTTATAAAAAGTTTAGATTTCTGCTCTCTTTTAGGTGCAGAATTGTAGAGACTCTATGTTGGTATGCAATTAATTTGCTAGAAAAATATCCAAGTTATCTGGATTGAACTGAACTTGAAGTAAACTCTCCAACTAGTATTAAGTATTCAAAGTTGTAACCAAATAGAAGTGCCAATGTACTTACTAAAATTGACTTAAATTCTACAAAAACATTTCATTACTTTGACAGGATCGTGCTCTGTCTCTTGTGCTTGTACTACATAAGACCAGTAACCTTTAAGTTTTTGTAATTATAGCCTTAGTTATGTTGTCTTGTTTTCTATGGATTGTGTAGTTTATTGATTAGAAAAAAAAAAAAAGAGTTAAGTTTTTTGTAATAACGAATATAATCAGATTTTCTTGTAGTAACGGATATAAAATATGACCATATTAGATTCACCTTGTAATCACTGCAAGAAATCTAACCATGTTTCAATAACAAATATAAAATTTGTCATAAACATAGTTACAAATAATCTGATACTTAATTATGTCAAAGAGAATAATGAACATAAAGCTATTCAATTTTGTTTTGTTAATCAAAAGTATAGAAAAAGTTCTGTTAACTAATTTTTAATTTTAATTATTTGTATATAATTATAAGATATATATTTATGATTTTCATGATCTTAAAACGAGGACTGTTTTCTTCAAATGCATGCTTATAAAAAAATTACTGAAGTAAGAATCATTGCTTATTTTACGAAAATAAAACAATAATTATAAACTGTTAAATTTTATTTAAATACTCAAAATTAAAAGATAAATATCATCTATAATTTTAAATAGTCTAGTTTTCACATCTTGAAGGTAGGAATGTCTCTCCAAGTATATGTAAATTATTACTTAATTTTTAATCTTAATTACTTAATATATAATTATATAATCTTTATGATTATCATAATTTTAAAATAAAACCTATTTTTACTAAATATATTTAATAAAAAATGAATAAATCATCGTTACATCATTCTGTTAGTACGATACGTTACATGATTAGTATAGACACACAATATTTACAGTAGTAATTTTTTTATTAGACGAAATATATACCAATAAATGTAAGCAAAATTATTAACTGTTTTGTATATGAATTTGGCACTACATGTAAGTAAGATAAATTGACATGCGTTACATTATTGGGAACTAGGATAAATTATAAAGAAAATATTTTATCTAAGGTGATTTTTATTATTCTTTTATAATAATTTATTATTTTTACCTTAGTCTACCTTGAAATTATGCAAATGAAAACATTTGTCATATCAGCCATGCATTGTTTTAACAAAATTTATCGATTCTGCGATAGAAGTGAATAATTTGAATCGCTCACAAAATATTGCACCGAAAAAAGTACTTAAAAAATAAAACTAATTAAGAAAACTATTTTGAAAGTTTACTTATATATAAAATCATTATAAAACATAAATGATCAAGAAAATTTGCCAACTTCAAGTGTACATAAATATTTAAAATTATTTTTATTGTTGTTGTTTTGTCCTTTCTCATGATTGATGCATTTATTTAACATAAATTTAATCAAAGGATGGCTAGGCAAAGGATGGGTATTTTTTATTCTTATAAATAAACATTTTATATATCCTGGTCGTTTGTGGCCTTAACTTAGGTGTATATAAAGGGCACAAGCTGGTGGCATAACCACCAACTTCCCTTCTTTGTATTGTAGCATTCTATTTCACCTTTCATCCCCACACCTCACTCTGCAATGAGTACTCTCCCCACAACACAAGGCAAAACCGTACCAGATGCCTCTGATTACAAGGGTCGCCCCGCAGAGAGGTCCAATACCGGTGGTTGGATTGCATCCGCCATGATATTAGGTCTCAGAAACCCACCACCTCTCTCTTTCTCTCTCTTTTTCAATCACTGACACACGTTTCTCTTTGTTATCTCAGGAGGAGAAGTGATGGAGAGGTTGACAACACTGGGCATCGCCGTGAATTTGGTAACATATTTGACCAACACCATGCATTTGGGCAATGCTGCCTCTGCCAACGTTGTCACCAACTTCTTGGGAACCTCCTTCATGCTCTGCTTGCTCGGTGGCTTCTTAGCCGATACTTTTCTCGGAAGGTTCCAACCTCTTCATCACAATTATATTTACATGGGTTTAGTTAACCTTAGAAAACATAATTATTATATTAAAATTATAAAAATGTTATAAATACTTTTTTTAATAAAATATTTATACTATTAATCGGTTCAACTTACCTCTTTTAACATTTTCCTATTTATACATGCATCGCTCTTATTATTTTTTTTTAAAATCTTATTCAATTCACATTTGTTAACGTGCCGTCATCAACATGTGGCTCGTGAGTGTTTATTGGATTTTTCGTTTTCATCTTTCACAGATACCGCACTATCGCCATCTTCGCAGCGGTTCAAGCAACTGTAAGAAACCTGGACGCAACTTCAATTTTTTTTTTATATTATCTTTTTAACTCTTTGTTCGATTATACTTAAGTTTAACTGTTTCCTTGATGTTGTCGAATGCTATCCATATAGGGTGTTACAATCTTGACAATATCGACCATAATTCGGAGCCTACATCCTCCAAAGTGCACGGGAGACACTGTCCCACCATGCGTACGAGCAAACGAGAAACAGCTAACGGTTTTGTATTTGGCACTTTACCTAACGGCCCTTGGCACTGGCGGGTTGAAATCGAGTGTATCCGGGTTCGGGTCGGATCAGTTTGATGATTCGGACCAAGAAGAGAAGAAGCATATGATTAAATTCTTCAACTGGTTCTACTTCTTCGTGAGCTTAGGGTCTCTGGCTGCAGTGACAATTCTGGTGTACATACAAGATAACCAAGGCAGAGAGTGGGGTTATGGGATCTGTGCGTGTGCGATTGTGATGGCGCTTCTTGTGTTCTTGTCGGGTACGAGGCAGTACCGGTTCAAGAAACTTGTGGGTAGTCCCCTGACTCAGATTGCTGAGGTGGTGGTGGCTGCTATTAGGAAGAGGAACTTGGAATTGCCCTCTGATTCCTCATTGCTCTTTAACGACTACGATACCAAGAAGCAGACCTTGCCGCATAGCAAGCAGTTCAGGTAAATATTTTTTCAGTGTCTCCTACTTTTTATTTATTCACTTTTATGGTTGTTTTTGATAATAGATACATAGAAGTTCCCGAATGATTCTTTGTTGTTAAATTATTTTGCTGGAGTTTACCTCCTCCAGTAAGCTTTGACTTTAGAGTATAATCATCAACCAATGATGCATATATTATTCATAATTTTACATATAAACAAATATATGTGTAAGACAAATAATAGTATGTTTAATTTACACGCATAATTTAAATAAAGATAATTTTTCATACCCTTTATTTTAATTAAAATGATGTGAAGTGGGATAGAGAAGAGAGATAAAAAAAATAAAAAGTATATATAATAAATGAGTTGATAAAAATAAAAATAAATTATAATTTTAACTTAAATGAATAACTGTCAAGGTTTGTAAATTTATGTCGGCTGACTATTTTTTTCATTTAATGAAAATTGGTTGATGATCAACTAAAGTTAAAGTGTCTCTTTTAATATAAAACTTAAACGAAGCTATATATATTTACATGATATCTTTGTGTTAAATAATTCTTTGGAAGAAAGGTATATACGCAAGAAAAATAAAGAATATAAAAGGAAAGAAAGAAAAAGCGATGAGGAAAAAAAATGTAAAAGGTAGAAAGAAGCTGTAAAGTAAGAAAAAAAAAACGAAAAACAAACTAGGGCTATTTTTTATTTGCTGGTGTATATGACAAGCAAAATTTTTTTTTATTCCCGCTAGGGAAATTTATTTTAATAATGTTTTTTTATTTCCCATAAAGTTTTTACCGGTTTTGGATGCACACTTTAGGGCTTTTCCCACACTGAGGATTTTTCCTTCCTTCTTTTTTTTTTTTACTTAAGCTAATTAACGTTAAAAAGAATAGCGCGTAAATGATTGGGCCAATGAATTGATTGCGTGACCCAGAGCCAGAACCAGAGAGGTGGAGAACCAGTTGACCTTGAAATGGACAACCAAGTTATCTTGGCTCATTAGCTATGTGGTCCGGAGAGGGAAATCCATGAACTTAGAGCATAAGTAAATGTATGGTTTAGAATATTTGGTATTCTTGCTTTGAATTTTGGATAGCACAAAGATTAATTAATAGCCATGATTTTTATATGTCTACCCTTCGATTTGGTAAATATCCCTTTCTCTCTCGCCAAGAATTGGTTTCTGCATGTGGAGACAAGGATGAGAAAACAACTATCTTTGTATCTAATAATTGTCCATTAAGATTCTAGTCCGTCTTACGACTCAGATCGAGAATCAAATCAACTCACGTAAAAGCTTAGGGACCTCAGGAACGACATGGCTATTCCAAAGTGGACTCTCACGCATCGTTTGTCCTTCATGCAAGCTAGCGCATCTACTACTACTCTTTCTTTTCTCTTCTCTGCCTCTCTCCCACTGCTACCTCTAACACGGACAAGCCTATCTGTATGCTAAACCTGCGCTCAACAATTAATATTATTACTTGTTCTTGTTCATGTGATATCTTGTACTCACATTTTATTTAAGGAAGCTTCTTTGGTTGCTATGACCCACACAACCTTTGTGCCAAACTAAAACAAGCAAAGTGTACTTACTCATTTCTTTTATTATATTTTCTCTTACTCTTTATATTCTTGGTATACATGCATCTTAAAAATATTTTCTAAAATTAAATGAGATGCCAAAAGATGTTTCATTAAAAAAAATACATTTTTCATCAATATTACTTGTTCATGTTCATGTTATATATTATTGTACGCAAATTTTTTTTAAGAAAACTTCTATGGTTTGCTATGACCCACTCAAGCTTTTTGCCATATTAAAACAAACAAAATATTCTCACTCATATGTCATATCACATCGCTAGAGGCGGAAATTTTAATGGTTATGCACGGGCAAGGCTAATTTGATTTAAATGTATAATATAAGGTACATTATTTGCATGCATGAATGTGATTTAACTTTATTCTAGTCCTTATATTCCTTCTCAATCCTTCATGGACGTTAGCTCAAATATGAATTAATGGATATTTTAATTTGTGGATGAGGCAGATTTTTGGACAGAGCTGCAATCAAGGACTCATCTGAAGTTGGTGGTGGAATCACGGTGAAGAGGAAGTGGTATCTCTGTACCTTAACAGATGTGGAAGAAGTGAAATCGGTGCTAAGAATGCTACCCATATGGGCAACCACCATAATGTTTTGGACCATCCATGCTCAAATGACCACATTCTCAGTGTCACAAGCGACCACCATGGACCGCCACATAGGAAAAAAGTTTCAAATCCCGGCAGCATCGATGACGGTCTTCTTAATCGGAACAATTCTGTTAACGGTTCCCTTTTACGACCGCTTTATTGTTCCGGTGGCAAGGAGAGTGCTTAAGAACCCGCATGGGCTAAACCCTTTGCAAAGAGTTGGAGTTGGTTTAGTCTTGTCAGTGTTGGCTATGGTGGCAGGAGCACTAGTAGAAATAAAGCGATCGAGAAATGCGCAATCACATGGTTTGGTTGATAATCCACAGGGAAAGATTCCAATGACCGTGTTTTGGTTGATCCCACAAAATTTCTTAGTGGGGGCAGGAGAGGCGTTTATGTATATGGGGCAGCTTGATTTTTTCCTTAGAGAATGTCCCAAAGGGATGAAAACAATGAGCACGGGACTGTTCTTGAGCACGTTGTCCTTGGGATTCTTCTTTAGCTCCTTGTTAGTATCTATAGTCAACAAAATGACAGCTCATGGAAAGCAATGGCTTGCAGATAATCTTAACCAAGGGAGACTCTACGACTTTTATTGGCTTTTGGCTACGCTGAGTGCTATAAACGTTGTGTTATTCTTGGTTTGTGCTAAGTGGTACGTCTACAAGGAGAAGAGACTTGCTGAGGTGGGCATAGAATTGGAAGAAACAGACGATGCTGCTACTTTCCATGCGTAGGATTTTTCTCCTACAACCTTTTCTCTCTTTTTCTTTTTTTCTTTCTTTCTTTTTTTTTTTTTTTTTTGGGAAATAACTTGCTGCTTGTATTAATATGATAATTTAGCTTTTGGTTACCACAATTAAGATTGTAAGTTGTAACCATTTTCAAAGTGCCTATACTGTGGGAAAGAGAAAACAAATAAAGTGAATAGTTTGCTACATAATCACCAGGTCTTGTTTATTTTGAGTGTTTTCATCAATCTAATCCATTTCTTAATCATACACACATATGTTCTTTTCAAACGTGACAGTTAAGTCCCACTAACCTTTGGATTATAGTAATGTAAGACACATAATATACAGTGGGCAAAGACGAGATTTCTTTTGGGGTCCATGGCGAAAACGAGCATTGGTTTTTATCCAAGAATATAACAAGCTTTTTTTTTTTTTTTCTTTTACAAACAATAAGCCTGAAAAACGCTACAAGCCCAAAGGCAACTTTTGCATATTAAGAAAGGTATCCGAGGAGAATGGTTTAACATGTATTAATAACCATTAAACCAACAATATCAGTCCCTGATGACACTAAACTCGAAATGATACCAGTCAAAATGGAACCCCAAACATACCTGTAACCTGTTTTAAAACCATTCACGGAATAGATGATATCAATATAGGTGTGTTTGCATGTATATATGTAACCTTCTCGTATTTACATAATTTACGTATATATTTTTATACGTAATTTATTTGTCTTAATAAGTCACGTACCATCTTACATCAGACATTTTACTTTTTGTCACTCTTTTTTTAAGCATTTTTGCTTAAATTTTGTTAATTCCGTTCTATCCAGTTGGTAATACTAAAATTTCCCAAATTCGTCCATTCCAAATTTATAAATTTGAATTTTGATATATGATACAAATTGATAATTTATTTAGATATTTTTAATGAATAATTTTTTCCTTAACTTAAAAATTCTTATATCTTTGATTTATTCGTATGTAATAAAATGAAATCCTCGATGTGATAATAAAACGTCACTTATTATTGTTTATTCTTTCGTACCTTTAGTTTCACTATTATTTGACAATAGTAATATTTTTACTATTACATATATTTTTTTAAATTTTACCTTTTATATTTTATCTAAAATGTAAAATGCCTGTATAATGTTTTTTTAAAAAGCCTATACGGATCTTTGATACCTACTTTTCATTTTTACTATCTTTTTCACTAAATTTTTCGAATGAAATCATATCTCAATAATCACGTTCAAGGTTATAGGAAAATAACAAGGAAAATTTCTTTCGTCGAAGAAAGTAATAATGCGCATTTCTCCCCATTTAAACGTCTAGCATGAGCTATTCCGAAACTTCGTTCCCTGTATCTTGTCAATTGTGAATGTGGTACAAGGAACGGAATATGCTTCGAGAATAGAAATGGGAAAATATAATGTTTATCACTGTATAAGCTGAAAGGATATTTACAATTTGTAAGGCAGAGAGCTAGAAATAAAACGTAGATAAAGTAGATGATCGCAAGGATAGTTTGCTGAGATTGGTTTAAAAAACGATTACATGAAATAAAAAGTAGGAGAAACTTGAGATAAAATGTCTTTTTGTCATTTATTTTTACGAAATGAAATCAAATAGCTAATAAATCAATAGCCTTTTGGCTGAGTTAATGGCTATAACAGGATAACGGGATATATATCCTTACATCAGCTAATTAACCCCAAACTACATGCAACTCTCTTCCAAGTAAACGCTGGTTCTTAAGGTCAAGAAAATTACAACTGTACTAACCATACATGGCGTAGGTCATTTCATTTCACAAAGCAGCGTCGAGAAACAATTGCTGAAAGTTATTTTTGGTACCCCTTCCATCTTGTTAATTGTTCATATATACCTACTACGACATCAACTGCAGGGCAATCCACAAAGCTTGTCCGACCAGGACCACTCAAGGGTGGTCCCAATTTCAGAGTTTCCGGAAGCCTACTCTCTCATTCTGTCAAAACACGTAACCATGCAAGAAGATTTAAGATAAGCCCACTCAGTGCTGATTTAGCCTTTTTCATCGTCATTATCTGCAACAGATGAGTACTTCATTGTTATAGGATAGTTATCACTGATGAACATTCAGAGTTACACCTTAAGACCCTCGAGATGTCGCTCAGGGACATAATAGCACGCAAGGACAGTTGCATATGTAGCTCAAGTTGGAAAATATATAAACGTTACCTGAACCAAATTAAGATGCACCTAATGGATCGCCAGAGTCTTCATTAAATTTGCCAAATATATTTGGACACCCATCCCATCGTCCAAGCTCTCTTGCTTCCCAATACCCACCAACGTATCGAAATGCTTCCTTCTCACCTTCTCTTCGGAACCACCTAGGCTTCCAACCATTTTCTTGCATTTTCCGTGACTGTAGACATAAGAACCATTATGATCATCAATAAAAAGAATAAGGAAAAAGTTCGATGATTAACCTCAGCATACGTGCATAAGAAAATTGGCAGAAAACTAATTGCAGAGGACAAAAAGCTGTACACAAACAAGATCGCAATTTGTTTACATTGGGACTAAAGGAATAAATGTCAACTCTCAATTGGGAAAACTCATTTCAAAACTTAGATCAAACAAATTGGACCGCATGAAAAAATGAATAATGAAAACTTAGAAGGACTTAGAATAGAAAGATTCAACTTGTTTAATTTGACAAAATGTTTTCTAATCTCACTTTTTATTTTCTTTACAAATAATTATGAAAAACATCACATCATTTTGTACGCACAGTTTCGTACCATACTGGGAGTTCATATATTTATATAACTAACGGTAAAAAAGACAGCCACCAAACAAATCATTAAATTAATAATAACGTGTGTTGAAGAGAACGCTATACATATAGTAAAAAATCACAAAATATCACAAGGCATTAAATATTATTATTTCTAATAAAAATTAACTATTTATTATAATTTTTAATACACATTAAAAAGTTATTAATAAAAATACCTATTCGTGACTTGTTAGTTTAGATTAAATAAAACATGAAATAATACTAATACTAATACTAATAATAATAATTAGATATTTATTTTAAATATTATGTAATATCTTTAATAGTAAATTAACTAAAATTTTAAATTAATATAAATGACTATGTTATTTGTTTTATGATAAAAAATAATAAATAAATAGCTTAATAATAATAATAATAATTCATAACTAAGTATGGAACATTATTTATTATAAAAAATATTTACAAATTAAAATATTTAAAAAAATAAGGAATACCCAAAAAATTAAATAAATAACTAGTTCAAAACGATTTATTTGGCCAATTATTACCTAATTTTGATCCGTTCATAACTGGTCTGACTAGTTTTAAACTAATATTTTGAGTTATCCAGCTACCGATTCCTAATCAAAGTAGGGTCTGGATTTCATGACGACTGAAACTATCAAGAATTATGGGCTTACTTAATAAATGTTTTTAGAAAATAATTTTAAAGTTTTGAAGACTATTAAAAAATGCTTTATAATTATTTTTTAACTATTCCAAAAAATTATAAAAATAGCTGTTAAAAAAATCTTTTTTTATTTGTTTTCTGAATTCTGAATTTGTTTTTAAAAGTGTCACTAAACATTTCTTTTCTTTTTCCAAAAAAAAAAAAGAAACCGCCTTTTCAAAACAGAAATACTTGTTAGTCTGAAAAAATGGTAATAAGACAAACTCGTTATCAACATTTCGCTACAAATTATTTTAAATTTTTTACCACCTAACTGCATCATTATGCTTCTCAATTCTCATTTAGTTTTTCATTTTGTCAACTTTACACAAACAGGCTAGAAATGGATTCGTTGAGAAATGAGAACCACAGTTCAGAAATTAGAACTCTAAACCCTCGCCCTCAGTACCCAAAACTTCCCAAATACAAGGGGAGGAAGAAGAAAAGCGAAAATGCGTGCTCATAGCAGACAAGATGAAAGAGCTTTCAGACATACCATTCTCTGCCGTTTTTCCAACCGTTGTTTCTCCAAATTAGCCTTCTCGTATTCCCCATTCTCTAGATGCCGCTGATCTGGTCTTAGCCTGGAATCCGTGGGCGGGAGCTTCTCCTTTAATCCGTGATCAAATACCCGGGATCAGACAAGGCTATAAAAAACAATTAGAGACGCATATATAAGAAGTGAAGTGCATATCAAATAATGATTTAATACATAATTGTATACCTTCAGTCCCGGAGTAAGCTCATTCAGAGTGATGGCAAATGGTGTCAAATTATACCGGGTGAGATTAGGCGGTGGCATATTCCTTTTCCACAACAAGGATGCGTTTGATGAAGTGAAATCTTTTGGCTTGACATTCACATCACCACTAACATAATACATGCGGTCGTCCCATTTGCCAAATAACGTGGCAATTTTTTTTCCCATTACATCTTCGACAAATCCATGCACCTAATTAATCGAACGCAAGTTACACGTTCAACGACACGTTAAGCAAAAAACGACTTAGTAGATAATATTACTTTGGAATATCAAGTGAGGACACCGGCGAAAAATGATTAAGTTGGTAAACTAACCTAAATTTCAGGAATAATGAAAATAAATAGAATAATGCCTAGAACGGATTGCAAAGAATAAAAATTGTTACTAATAACTCTTACTTGGTGAGGATTTCGGTCAAGAATAGTCTGCTCTTTGAACTTGAGTTTGCAGGAATATTTACGATTACCACGTATATCCATGTTCCCATGATGATCACAGTATATTTTCCCAAGGATAAGATTATAGATTGTGGTTGTGACCTAATGGAGAAACAACAGGAACAACAATCAAAACAAATATTCAGAGAAAAAATATACGATGAATTTTGAAGACACATCACTAGTACAACCCGGCGGAATATAATATATCCTACACAAATAGAGTGACTTTACAATGCACACCTTGCTCCACTGAAATATTTCACCATCATCGAACTCTAGGGTCAGAACACCCACTGGATCAAGCTGAATTGACGTTCCCCAAAACTTTGAATGGATGTTGCTGTCAGCCCAAAACTTCCATCCCCTACCTTCGCAATGGCAGGCAATGAGAGTTGGATGATGACTGACCTGTTTCACACATAAGGTCAGCAAACGTGAAATAGATAGGCAAGTTCAATTTCTATTATTAAGACTAACTGGGCAAAATACATATGAAGATCGAATTCTATCAAGATGAAATGTATGTCTGGACATTAATATGTATGAACTGCTGGAACTAGGAAACATGTTGATGCATGATTCTGGAACTTCCTTATCATTAAGCCTAAAGAACACCGCAAGTGAGCCCACGATAATATAAGAAATTTTATTTACTTCAACAGCGTAACATAACAAAAACTTGAACCAAAAGAGAAGAGACAACATAAAAAGCCACTTCTCAATAGAAGTAAGGACAAATAGCACATATCTCCCCTCAGACATGGGAGAAGTTTAAATCACATCGTTTTCTCCTATATTTTGAAGTATTATACTTCCCGCCCTTGTGAGATAAAAATGCCATATACTTTATTTATTTTAATGTAAACAAATCTTTTAGAGGTGGTGAGCATCTATCAACAAACCTCATAAGGATATCTTTCTCCTCTCCACGACTCAGAATATTACCTTAGCTAATTTTGAATGCCCTACTGTCAACTTTGGGATTTTCTGGAGATGAAGTGAAATTTTATGCACATTTATTATTGTCTTTGGGACTTCACCGACAATATTCATAATGTAATACCTCAAAATCAATAGTAGGGATTAATAACTAGTCACAGATGACACTGAGAAACATAATCAAGGAATTCATCAAATGAATGTAATTTTAATTTGTAGGAAAATTGCCATTTGTAAGCCAAGGGCTCTATAGATATCCAAAATAAAACTGGACCTCATGTCATCTATGATCGGGCTTCAGAGCCTATTTTAGATTCCAATGTTGTATATATACTTTAATCAAATCATAAGGAACTAACCTTCTCTGAAAAGAAGCGAATTCCTTTCTCAGGATAATCAGCTTCAAAGGTTTCTCCTAATAAAGGATTAAAGGGTTTACAATGACGACCTTCAGATGATCCATATCCAGAAATTGCAAAGGCAGCGACATTCAATGCCCTAAGGAGACTGTTTCCCTGAAAAAGAAATTCAAAGTGGAAAGTTATCGCAAACAGCAGTATGAATTTATGTCGACTTTGAATCATGTTATCATTCAATACTTCCACCACAAAAACACGTAAACTAATGGTAAGCTTAATTAATTTGATGGAAACTGGAAAATAGAGAATAAGTTGACAATTTAACCAAAAGTAAAAAATGAAGCACATTTTATTTTCCATTTTCTCATTTTTTCGTTGGACCAGGCAAATGTAGAGTGATTTTATTTTCATATTATCTACCTTCTCACTTTCCCAGGCTAAACCAAGCAAACTCCCTAAGGGAAAGATAAAAATTTACTAAATGTCGCTACTTGCCAAATCATCAGTAGAGTTCCTCACAAGTTTGACTCGTGTACTTGAGCTTAGAGAAAACACCATTATACAGAGAACTGTTACACCACTTGGCTATGATACAACTGAACTGAAACTCATTTGTGATCAAACAATTTCGTAGAAATTAATGTATGGTTAATTTCATACTCTCAAAATTATGATTTCCCCCTCCCTCCTCTTCTACATGTGACATAACGTGAACTTAATGAGTGAAACTACAGACATAAAACAAAGGAGCTAAAAGAGTGAAGCAAGGTTACTATATCTCCGTATATAAGAGATGGAAACACCCCTTAGACAGCCACGGATAGATTTGTAAAGGTAAATCATAAAAACAATCATGCCACACCAGAACAAAACAGGTTTAGGGGCCAAGGAGTGCCTTTGAGAATGTGGGCATTCAACTTCAATACTACTTTTAAATTTGTATTGTTTGAACTTCAAAACTCAGTGGGTGGTATAAACAAGAGCAAGGTGTTTATCTTACTGATTTTCCGTACTCATAAGCTTGATCCAGAAGATAAGAGTATTCCAAGTCCTCACAACATTTTTGAAGCGATGATATCGGCTCATTAAAGTATACTGGAAGACAAACTCTTGTGAGATCTTTTCCCACGTTGTCCTTGATCATTGACCAAAGACTAACACCCTTCTCTCTCTCAACAGGATTTGGAAGCTTTTTTCGTCTTCCAATCTGAGGGTGCTCATAATTGCAGAGTTTTTTCTCAGGATGAATGTTCCCCGTATCAGTGCACTGTGTGTTGTCTTGCCCAGACCTGTCCACTTGATTCATAGATCCTCTTGACTCACACTTGCAATCAGCCTCTGTAAAACACTCTCTAGTATCATAATATGAGCTTTCATCTTCATCTGACTCTTCCTCCGTCTCTTGTTTCTCAATATCATCAGATGATTCAGTTGTACTACATTCTGAAACCCAAAAAATATGTGAAAATAATAATACATCTTGAAAGCACAAGATCATAAACAATGAACGTTGCAAACAGATTCATTGTAGACAAATTTACCCAAAGACAAAGCACAAAATATTTTATATAGACAGCAATGGTGCATATGATCATTCTAGCATCCAGCAAAGTGAACTCGGCATGTTTGTGAGGTACAGTTTCTATTCTGATTAAATGAATTAACATTTGAGCAAATCATGGATTCATGATCCTCGAGTTCAAAAACATAAATTGCCTAACGAATAGATGAAAATGTATTAGAAGTCAACAAGTAGAAACATATGAACTCATCAAAAATATTAATTTAGTCAAATCATAAAATGCATAGGCACTCATAGTCATCGAGTTGACTTACAAAATAAAACTATCATATGAATTTGAATCTAAATCATGAAATAAAATAATGATAGATAAATTGAAATTCTATAGAGGTCACAGCATATGAAGATACCTTTAAGAGAAAATCATAAGAGGTTGAATTAAAACTCTAGAACCTAGAACAAAATAGAAATAAACGGGCCCATGTACTAATGGCATTTAGCCAAATACTTTCCATCATTCAAGAAACGGCTTGTAAAAACAATATGATGTCAGCAATATTCCTCTGTTCATATAAGACAGAACCACAGGTCCCTACGATAACTTTCAACACAACAAAGATTCCGCATACAACCACATGCTTATTACATCAAATAGGAAAGACAAAAGTCACAGCATATGTATAAACAGAAAAGCATTCGCAACATATATAGCAGTACCACTATATTTTCCACGTCCAAGACTTGAAAGCTCATTCTTTGTTAATTGGTATCCACCATCATGTATTGCAGAGGCCTCAGGTTCAGTATTAGCTGCCTGCTTATCATGGTCAATAACAAATTATTTTAGTTACATACAAATAAGAGCTTCCACATTGAGAAATTAAAAGCATACTAAAATGATAATAGAATTGAAATATAAATCCATGAATTACATTTACTTTTTTGATGAGGGAGAAGGGAGAAAACAATTGATGGCATCAACTAAAGTCGCCAGTGACGTGACTCTCTAGTAAGAAAAGCCCACAAAAAAGCAAGAATGCATGACCACATGAACCAAACATGTCATGTGGTCTAGCGCATAAGAAATTTGACATAGTTCTTGATTGTATGATAACAATAACTCTTCAGTTTGAAATATGCCAATACCAGTGATCAGATAATTTCATCATAATGATCCTACAAACACTTATATCTTAAACATGTATTTTTATTTTTATAAATAATCACTTAGTTCTATAGCTTCTGCATAGAATTTTGGAAAAATACACAATTATTTTTATTAAGTTAACCTGAACCAACCATGCTATAATAAGCACAATAATTACGGAATAATATATGTACACAAGAAATGAAAATATAGCCAAAGTTTTGAAACTTGATGTACAAACTCTAAATTAGCATTGTAAGTAAGATGACCACACAAAAAAATAAAGTGATACGCGTGACAACTTGTCCCATTACATATAAGATAGATTCTAAAAAATAATTGATGGTACATGAGACTGAAAAGAAATTTTAGTTCATTGAGCAAAATATATTTTACTGAATGTTTTATCAACTTAAGTATTTGTCCACCCAAGATGACCCGGTCAAAAAGATTGAAATCAAATGACCAGAAATCATAAGTTATTGAATAATTCATAATTAAGAGAATATTGGGAAGTTACCTCCAACTGCCTTATTGTATCAAGCAAATTAGATCGCTCTTGACAAAGAACTTCAAGTTGTCCTCGTATTTCGGAGAACTCTGAGAGCATGATTTGCTCGCACTCCTTTACAAGGTTTTCACCCGTACCCTCTTCAAGCAAGCGTGTCTTAAGCCGCTCGGTGGACACGGATATATCATTGTGTGCAAGTAAGAAATGATCATTGAGTGGTTGAAGAGGATACAAGCCACGAGTTGACACTAAGGCTTGCATCCACGCCACGCGATCTTTCCTCGAATCAGTTCTCAGATGGAGAGTCTTCGTTGCTGTAAATATATAGAAACGCCGATCATCTGATTTGCTCTCTCTAAACGACGAAATCTGCTAAACATCCACATGATGTAACTTTAATTTTAATTCACGAAGAAGCAACCTCAAGTCCTTACTCTAACCAAGTTTTCTTTTCGTTGAAAAATAAGAAATAAAAGAAATAGGATTTATAAATAATAGTAAACTGAAAAATAATAATGGCATAACAAATAACAAATTTGTACAAAAAGGTAAAAAATAATATAATAACTAATTGAAGTTTGTGTTCATTAATAAAGAATAAATATTAGAAAAAAACGAACCAGCACAGCAACAAAATTTATAGGAGAGAGCCCACCTCGACAGAACGCTGTTGTGAAGAAAACAGAAATAAGCTTCCCAACAAGGCACACGGACACAACAAACAAGAATAAAAAGTAAGGACGCCCCTACCACCTCAACCAAAAAACATTAAAATTTTGTAGCTAATGAAAGACACTTACCCATAATCAAAACACGCGGAACAAGCACAGGCCCGCCAGGTTTTGGACCGCCAAACCAATAATACTATGTTACGAAATATAGTTCTAGTTTGAACGACGCTGCTAGACTATTATGATACAATCAGGACCAAATAAAAAAACTATAATGTTCAAGAAATATGGTAAATATTGTAAAATGTGCTTTACTGTCTCTTACTGTAATTATTTTCCCAACTTTATCTGGGAGAAGTGGACTGGCTTTTCATCTTGAAAACAGCAGCATACAAGTTTCCCACTTTACTAATACACAATCATTAAAAAGGAAAAATAACAAAAACAAATCACTCGAGTGCGGAATAGATAATACCACACCAAATGGCAAGTCCCACATACATGTTTATTTTTTTCAGAGATTTCATTTCAATTGTTTAGACAAAACCAACAAGCTAAAAGGCATTTTACCATTAAGGTTGCTTAAAGTAACATATGAGGCATTCCAATTTACAAAGCTAAACGCACGCCAGTCCAAGATCCCTAATTAACTGCCGTTCAATCAACGCACTATTAATATTTGTTTTGTCTGCTCCACAATGTAGTGTAATGTAACTCCTTCAAGTTCAAGTCTTGTATAACCGTTAAGGCAAGCAAGGAAAAGCCAAAAAGTATGCCGTCGCTTTTTCTCTCTCTCTCCCTAAATATTTACAAGCTACAGGAACATGTTCTGTGAGGAGCAAAACAAAAACAATACAAGACAACGGAAGAGAAAGACGTACGGCGTATAAACAGATAAGAAAGAAACAATAAGAGGAAAAGTGCAAAAACATTACTGGTTACAGGAAGGCCTTCCAGGATACCCAGTCTATTTTGTGTTTCATATTTTTGAGCTGAAATGGTAAACGCGAGATTGGTAGAAAAATGGGTGTGAGGAGGAAGCAATATTAGAAAGAGCAGAGCGAAAATGAAGAAAAGCATTCTTCCAACGACCAATGGCAACGAAGGGATGATGTGACCGCAAGTTAATGCCTAGGGCTACGACGTAGGCTATCCGTACCCCCCTCGGCCACCTGTTGATGTGACCCACTCTACATAAACAACCAGTTAAAACCGTAAAACGAGAATTAGAGAGTTGAATTTTCAAATTGAAACCACCCATCGCATCCTCTCCGATTAGGATTTTTAGTGTTCAAACTAATTTTTTGAATAATTAAATATTAAAATTAAATACAACTTATTAAATATTAATTACGAGCCTCCCCTCCTGCCCTTTAGAACTGCACTGATCTATCTATCCTTGAAATCGCGCCCAAACCCAAACCAAAACCCAGACAGAATAGAGAGAGAGAGCAAAGTCACATCGAACAATGGCTGAAACCCGCGGGTTTCCACATTACTGCTCAGACATACCAGCCTATTTGTTTGTTACTTCTCACTGCCAGAGGAAGAATCAGTATCAGGTGGATAATTTTAATGGCTGGAACCAAAGAACGAATCCATGAAATCCTCGCCACGCCTTCGTAATCACTAATCACATCATTAAAAATTAAGAAAAAATCAAGCACGAATAACAATAAGCATATTTAAAATCGAAAATTAAAATGTAACCGTTGCCTAATCCTAACTCGCAGTGAACTAGTGCCGAAAAAACAGTATAACTGAGGAGACAGATCACAGCGCCAACGCCTGCGATGATTCTTTCTTAACTTCTTGAATCAATAAAAAGAAAAAACCAAATCAACAATTAAGTTATACGTATAGTATAGTTGTACCTTGAGATGAACTACGCCAGAAGAAGAAGAAGCTTTGCGATACTTCCGTCGCGTGACGGAGGTGGCACTGTCCATCCGTGAGAGGCGGTTGGTGGAAATCTCTCCGATGAGGCGAACGTCGTAGGAAGGAATGAGGAGGTTGAGATTCTCCGGACAGCGGATCTTGGCGTAAGAGAGAATGCCATTTCGCAAGAGGAACCATCGGGATCTCCAGCCTTTGCCGTAATTGGTCCACTTGTATAGAACGCCGGCGACGGTTACCTCCGATCCCTGAGCAGCATTGCCGTGAGATCCGGCAGCCGGGAGGCTCCTGGTTCGGAAAAGTGACGGCGCCTCCCGGTCCGGAGAATGGTTGCCGATTCCGGGACTCTCCAGGGAGATACAGCACAGCGGGTGCATCTCTTTCACTCGCATTTTCACTTTCCAATAATAATTTCCTCCGATTTTCGCTCCTTTCTTTATTTTAACGTCTTGATTTTGCTATCGCCAACTCGCAATTCTTTTCTTCATTTATTTAATGTTCTTAAACAGAGTGGTGTTGGAATAAGAAGGAGCTGAGAGGAGTGAAAATGAGATTGCGAATGAAAAGAACATAGAAGGAGGTTGAGCAATAGATGCATTAATTGTTAAGTATAGTAAAAAGAGTGCATATGGAAATAGCTTGGACTTCTATTTTAAGAGAAAAAAAAATGAGATTAGTATAAGCAAATGAATAAATGTGTTGGGAGAGGGAATAGCCGGCGCGTATATATAGATTGGACAGGGCAAAGCCAACGGAAAGGGCACAATGGTAATAAAATGAAAATACAAGGGTTTGAAATTGGAAATAGAGATTCTTCTCTTCTTTGGTCTTTTTTTCATTTAATCTGTATATATCAATTTGGTTGGAAGCCGGAGCCTGCGTACAGCAACCGGAAACCCCAGCTCGAGCCTAAGATATCTGGAATTATCCAAAGAGATAATAAATAGACTTCTCGCGACTATATCAGGCTTCCAAATTATCGCCAAATTATCGCACCAGATGCTGTGCGTCTGTGACTGTTGACTATGATAAGTCGGAAACTGAGCTGCCTTATAAATGCTAATTAGTGCCTTACCATCCACTATTTGTGTTTTTTTTTCCTCCTAAGAGAATTATATTTAATATATATATATATATATATAATAGATTTTGTTAAGGGCTGAGCATAAATAATTAATAATAATAAAATTTTATTAAAAATAAAAAAATTATTATATTTTTATTATTTCAATATAATAATTATATATTTTTTTATAAAAAATTATTTGTGAATGTTTAAATCTAATCCAAAAAATTGAGGTTAATAAAATTTATATATAGTTTATTTTAAAAACTTTTATAAATAAAAATTCTTATTTTTATCAAGTGTTTTATTACGTGCTTATTACATAATTTGAGAATATTAAACTTACCTTGTTAAGATTTTCTTTGTGTTACTTTTTCATTATAAAAAAAATTAATTTCAGTATTTTGTTGGAGTTTTAAAAACAAAACAAATTTTTTTATTTTAAACTATTTTAATTAAAACTAAACAAAATACAAAATGTTTTTAAAAAAAAAACTCTTGCAAAATAACAATTTTTTATGCATTCTTAAAATATTTTTAAAGTTAAACAGTTTGATTATAAATATAATTAAATTTTGATATATATTTTTTATTTAGATTTAAAAAGACAGTAATATTTATTTATTTTTATAATATCCTTATTCGCTATATAAAAATCTAATTTGTTGGAATGTGATCAATAACAGTGTTCGTTTATCAACAAAGTAGACTAAATTTTGCACAATATATTTAACAATAAAGTAAAATAAGATAATATCTCATATTTAACATGAAAGTAATTTATTGAGATCTACAATTTTCTTTGTCTTAAAATGATTCCTTCTTTTAAAGTTTCTGTAAAAAAATATATATCGTTTATGCTTATAAAATGAAAGAACTCAAACATTGTTAAATGGACCACTTGATATAAAATGCTCCAAACCAACTCTTCTACACATTACTAGATATCACTGATTTTTTATTATTATTTCAGTTGATTTTCGAATATTTTGTACTCTCTCGAAAGAGTTAATATGGTTATTGAAAAAGTGAAAGAGATAAAACAGTGGCCACAAAAATATGAGGAATCCCTTGTAAGCGTATTCCACCAGTTGAAGACCTGCTGCTGTGGTCTCACACCTACAGGTTCCTTCTTGATTTCCCTATTGATATAGTATCCGACAAAACTTCATTCCACGTACTAGACCAACAAAAGTAACCCCACAAGATAATCTGTTAATGTTTTCCCCTTTTATACTCTAATTCCTTAATTAGCCACTTTTTTTCAATTAATCACAGTAACTATCAATAAAATTTAACTTATATATACTCAATTAATTTTGAATCGCCGACTCGGGTACCCAGCTTCTCCGTTGCTAGCACTAAAGGGTGTTTGGTTAAATTTAAAGACGTATCAAAACAAAATACACGTGCCTTAAACTATTTGTATTAAAATATATTAAAATTATGTTAATATATTAATTCATATTTTTATTTTTAAAATATTAATTCTAAATATATTTATTTAAAATTAATAATTTTATTATTATTACTCTCTTCAAAACTCCCTTTTTAAACATTTTGTAATGTTCAAAAAAGTATGACTTTTGGACATGTGTACCCTCTTGGATGAGAATATGTCTGTCTCGTCAAATATTATAACCCTTAAGAAGAAGTAGTTGTTTGAAAAAAAAAAAAAAAAGATACTTTGGAAGAGAGAGAAAAAAATTATTTTTTAAAAATATATTTAAAATTTTTTTATTTAAAATAAAAATATAGGTTTATATAAATTTAAGTATATTAATTATATATTTATAATATGTAATTATTTTAATTTGAAATTAAAAAACATGTTTTCGTTTTTTGTATAAAAATAATCTATCCTTTAAACAAACAGGTCCAGAGCAAATAAATTTGGCTTCTTACACACTAGTCAATTTTTAAGATACAACATTAGGATTAATTATTAAATTTTTTTATTAAAAACTGTAAATAAAGTATATAATTACATATTCTTAAATAATTATATTCAAACGCTCACTTTCTTATTCATTCATTTTTTTATTTCTCTTTTTTTTATCGCATCACTCGTCATATATTTTACTTTCACTCTCTTCTATTTTTTTTCTATCTCTCTCTTCCCCACCTATTCTTCACTCCGAAAATAAACTCACAAAAATAATTTTTATTTAATTTATATTCTTCTATTTGGTCTGTTTAATTTTTATTTTTTGCATAAGAAAATTAACTCATAGTCCACGATTTCATTATGTTTCATTCATTGCTTTTTCTTCTTTATGTTATTTTTATTTCATAGTCCACCCATAGAACATCCCAATTGTCTCTACTATATTGTCTAAACGTTTGAGTGAGAGAGGTCTATGCTATCATCTTAAAATATTAGTATTTTTTTTTCAAATAATATGTCACAAATAGAAAATATCATATCATTGATTTACGTAAATTTATAAAAAAATAAAAAAATAATTATTTTTATTATATTTTGTATAATATTTATTTATTTATATAAATTAATAATAAGTCACACTTTTATTATATTTTTATTAATTGTTTAATTAAAATTGTAGGGTGAAGACTTAGTTCAAAATTAAAAAAGTAACTGAGAGTAATTAAAATTAAAATTACACATTTATTAAAATATAAAGACAAAAATACAATTAAGTCTAAATAAAAAAATACATCATAATTTTTGCGCTATTATTATTATTTTTGTATATTACTTCTCCTTTGGTGCCTCACTTATTTTATTATTGTGTTTTTTTATCTTCATCTTCTACTTTTCTTCGTCGCATACTGGGATGTTTTCGCTCTAAGAAGTGTGAAATGATTCGATCCTGAGATAAATATGAGGATGGCATTCGATGATCACTCTTAATTTGCTGCCATCGTATTTTAATACAAGTGTCAAGTATTTGAGAATCTAGGATCGTCACACTATATCTCAAAAACACAAATGGGAATCTCACATCAAAAGAAATCATGGGAATCCAAAAACATTATATAAAAAAGGTTTTCCAAACGCATAAAAAAAATATCGCCCTTGTATATCAAAGAATCCTATGTAAAACTCACTGTTAATAAAAGACATGTAAGAATAACAATATACGTATGATAACTTTTTATGTATAGTAAATTTTTATTTTGTTGTAATGTTATGGTTGGCTTTATAGAGAATAAACGAAAGAGAAAAGGATAAAAAGAAAAAGAGGTGAAAAAAGTAACAGGACACACTGACCAAATTAATATTTAAAAGAAATAATTATAATTTAGCACGTGCTTTCTAGCACACAAATTAAGCAAAGAAGAGACACCAGGATGAGTGCGTTGGTTGAAAGGTAGGTGTGGGTGGTTATTGCTGGTGAGGCGACACCAGAATGACACAGACGGCAACTTGCATAAACATTTGACAGATTAATTTTCTTATTTGAAACACTAAAGATTAACATCATATATAATATTGTTACGTATAATTATTTTTATTTATTTTTGTTTATTTATTTATATTTTCATGTACGTAATTTTTAAAATTATAAAAAATGCCTAAAGTATTTCCTCATTCTTAATTTCTTTCTTACATGATTGCTGCAGCAGTTTTTAAATGTAAATTTTGTTATTATATTTATTTAACTTTTAAATATTCCAAAAGTCATTATAATGAAAGAATTACTCTCCATTTATGATATAAATATTTCCGTACTTGTAACTAAATAATAACTTTACAAGTTTAATATTTACTTAAATAATTGCATTGTAATCCTTACTTTACATTTAATATTTAAGTTTAGACTTAAAATTTATTTTACAAGACTATTTATTGAAATATTTTTTTATATTCAAGCATACATTTAAATAAGAATATAGTTTTTCGAATCTCGCAGGTGCTCCCCTCCGTACCCTATACGTACGGGGTTCAATTACAGAAAGGTGTGCAAACGGAATCGCGCATATTGATTTTAGAAAAAGCAAGCATTACGTGTTGCAGACGATACGGAGTTAAGCATAAACGGAGCATCTAACTAGACATAAAAATAGTTCAAGCTCTTCAATAAGAGTTTACAGTTTGGTTTATTTAAAGTATAGTTGCACCTAATTTATTTAATTAATATTTTTAATTTAAATTTTTAAAAAAATTTAATTAATTAAATAATTTAGATTTAAATTTAAAAAATTATTAAATCTATTATAATGACATATTTAAAATTTATAATAATATATTAAATAATTTTATATAAAAATTATAATATAACAATATATTAAATCAATTAAATTTTAAAATAATAAAATCTTAAATTAAAAATTTTAATCATTTTCTTTAGAACTAAAAATTATCTCTATTACATATTTTTTAAGAGAAAGAGAGCTTTATTTGATGGAGTTTTTTTGCATATTCTATATGCATAATACTTATTTACATTGCGTTATCTCGATTACATATAGGTGTGCAGATCCAAACAATTCGTTTCGCTCCGTATGAATCTGGGCAACCCACCCAAGCAAAATTGGTCAGTAACAAGTTTTAGGTAAGTATAATACCTTTTCTAGATTAAAATGATT